TGTTCAAGTGTAGGTTGGATACAGGGGCTTGGAGCAACCTGCTCTGGTGGAAGGTGTCCCTGCTCGTGGCAGGGGGTTGGAACTGGGTGAGCTTGAAGGTCCCTTCCAACCCAAACCAGGCTGGGATTCTATGCACTGTGGCACCCCGGATGTGTTGGGTTTGGGGTTGCACAGAGGCAACACAACCAGCTTGTTTAGAAAACAACAACCAGTATTTATTGCTGTCCATATAGATTTGGTTACAAGGCGAGGGGGCTGCAGGGGTCCATCCAGCTCCCGCAGGCGAGCACTGGCAGAAGACACAAGAGCTGGGCCACCCATGCCTCAGGGTAAGGGAGATGGACAAGCTCAGCCCCCCCACCAGGAGACAAGGGGTTCCCCAGCACCCTGGGCAGCCGGGAATGGTACATATGTTCTGTGCGGGAATGCTAAAGCACTTAAGGAGTTTGTTTATGCCTTATAGGTCAGCTCAGTTTCTCTCTCTCTCATCTAGGTTTTCCCAGTCTTTCTTCCTCCCATTCCATCCTGCAGCCCCTGCTTGGTTTCCCATCAGAGAGGAGTACTGGGACATTGTTTGGGTCTCTTTGAGCTCCATCCCTCCCTGCTGGTGTTGGAGCTGGAGCAGGTCAGCTCAGTGGGTCCGGCCCAGCCCAGCAGTTTGGACCACAGGCTTCAGCAGTAAAAGGCAAAGGGGAGGGTGGAAATGAGCTGCGTCACATCTGGGAAAGGTACTGAGGGTGGCAGGGTCTGATCCTGCTACATGCAGGGAGGGTACAGGCACCCAGGATGCTCCCAGCACCCAGCCAGTGGGTGCCCTTTGTGCTCCTGCAGGGTTGAAGCCAGTGGGACAGCTTCTCCTGCTCCATAAAATGGTCTGATCCAAGCCCACAGGCCCATCCAGGGTGTCCTGCCATACCCCTCCTGCCTACAAAGCACCATCATACCTCTCTGTCCCTCAGAGCCATGTCCCCTGGGCCGCTAGGACCCCATGTCCAAGCTATTCTGCTACTCTCAGACTGGTACTTCTGTTCTTGGTGCTTCATGTGAGGTTGGTGGTAGGAAGGATGTGCCTGGCCAGCCAAGGGCCCAGGCACTGGTCACAGCTGGAATGTCATCTTTGGTGCTGCTGGACCAGAGATGCCCTCCCTGGTCAGATCTCTCTGCTGCGGGTGGAGGTGGGCTCTGGGCATGGGTGATGGTCACCCTATTGATGATGGACTTTAATCCTGCTTCGGTCTCAGGAGGGAGGGAAGTCAGGAGGTGGCAGGTTTGGACCCCCAAAAGCAGCAGCACAATGTGAATCTGCTCTACATCACCCAAGCTTGTTTGAAGCTCTCTACTAATAAAGCCCAGCCCTGACCCCCCATCTAAGGAGGGGTTGAACTACCAACCCTAGGCCTGAGTCTTGGCCCCCTTTGACTCTTGACCGCCTGCAGTTCCCAGAAGCTCAGCAAAGGCATGGCACTACATGAAGATAAATGCTACAGAAAGAGGGGGACCCCCATGGCACCATTTCCTTCTCCCCCCTTTAACAGCAGAGTGCGATGCCCAGAGCCAGCAGGAGGGTCCCCAGCTGGACCTGGGGCACTGCTCCTCCAGCCCTGCTCTTGGACTCCCTCGGCATGTGGTAAACAATCACCAGCTTTTCTCCAGTACCAGAAGGATCTATCTCATCCCCCTTGTAGCAGCTCCGGCCCCCAAAGTGGCCGGCGTGGGGGTCATCTCGGAGCAGCTCTTCAGCTGGATTCTCCGACCCAGCCAAGGCCACGTTGACCGAGACATCCCGTGTTCCCACATCATTGACAGCGAGGCAGGTGTAGATGCCTTCATCCTGCTTGCTAAAGTTGGGAATGGCCATTGTGCCGTTCTTGAAGACCAGGAAGTGCTCTTGGCTCTGCTTGACGTTTCCATCCCGCGCCACGTTGGGCCCACTGATCTCAATGCGGCGGCTGGAGGTCTGGATCTTCCACCTGATCTCCGGTGGAGGGCTGCCTGCCACGCTGCAGTGCAGGGTCAGCGTGAGGCCATCGTACATGACCGTGTTGTCCAGGTTGGACAGGTAGGTGAGCTGCACGGAGGGGGCAATGCAGTGGTGGTCAGGGATGTCCGTCACCGCCCTGCCCTTCATCCTGCCAGGACCCACACACAGGGTAGAACCCCCCTTGGTGATGGACACAGAGGTGTTCTCAGTCCACTTCTTCAGCCAGAAGACTTTGCAGGAGCAGTTAAAGGGGTTGTTGAAGATCTGAAGCTGGGACAGGGATGGCAGGTTATTCAAGGTGCCCTCGGCCAAGGTGGTCAACTCATTGTCGTTGAGCCAGAGGGAGCGCAAGTCCTTCAGGGAGTGGAAGGCATCCCTGGGCAGCCCGGCCAGGCGGTTGTTGTTCATCTTCAGGATCTGCAGACCGCTGAGGTTGCGGAGGTCCTGCCAGGGGAAATCCATGATCTTGTTGTGGCTCAGGTCCAGGTTCTTCAGGTGCAGTAACAAGGAGAAAGCCCCTGGCTCCACCACCCCGATCTGGTTGTAGCCCAACCACAGCGACTGCACTTCGGGAACCTCAGCGAAGGAAGCCTGGCCCAACCAGCTGATCCTGTTGGCTGACAAGGTGAGGATGGTCACATTGGAGGACAGCCCCTTGGGAACCTCCTGGAGGTCCTTGTAGGCACACTCGGCCAAGAGCCGCCCGTTCTTCTTGGTGGAGCAGGAGCAGGGGCTGGGACAGGCCAGGCAGGGCCCCAGGAGCGCAGCCAGCCCCAGGCAGCAGACCAGGGGCCTCATCCTTCCTCCTGGGAATAGAGATGGGGGGAATGAACAGGACGGGTCGAGCCGAAATGGGGATCTGTGTTTTCTTGCCAAACACTAAGAGGAAGCAGCAGGAGAGCGAAGCATCCATGTGATTAACCCCAGGCTGTTCGAAATACTCTTCCCTAAGCTGAAGAAGGCATTTCCTCGCCAAGAGCAGAGCTTTCTACCTATGTAAGCAAGGAAAATTCCCCTTAAACCCTTTCCTCCCCCCTCTAGGAAATGCCTTTTTTTAATCCTGGCTGAAATCCAACCCCTGGGATGCTGTTTCTCCAGGTTTGGGGATGAAAAGCGGGAGCTGAAGGTTCCAAATTCACCCTGCTGAGGCTAGAAGGAGGCGAAACAGAGCGACCACAGCTCTTTCACAACTAGCCTTCCCCTAAACCATTAAGCCCGCCTCCCCTGGAACCCAGAAGTTGTCGGGCTTTTCAGCACGCTCTCAGACCTCAAACCAACCCCCTATCTCCATGTTTTTCCATGTCATGGAAAAAACCCAGCGTCTCACATGCTTTTTCTCAGCAAGAGAGTGTGGGGTCTCTTGCTGCTGGAAGTCTTTAGAGAGAAATACTTCCGAGCTAACTCCTTACTCCCCTTCTTTTTGCCTTCGGCAGGGGACTGGGCATGCTCTATTCCCGGCCTCTGGAAGCTGCATCCCACAAGGGAAGAGGTTAACTGTGCCTCAGCGAGGAGCTGGCAGCGAGACCCCTTTGTCTCTGCCTTGTAGGCAAGTTTTGCTGCTCCTTCCAGTCCCCAACCCTGTCATTTAGAGCAGGAAGGAGCGGGGGGGTGGGGGACGGACGACGCGGGCATTTCATTGGCAAGGGAGAGGATGAATAATACCCGCAACAACAACTTGGGGAGGGGGACAAAAGGGGGCACAAAGGGTCCTGTCCTGCAGGAATAGACCACTCCATTGATGGGGTTCAAGGGATGTGGAAGGACCCCGCAGAGTTCTGGGGGTGATGGCTGGGTGAGAGCCCGGCAATGGTGGGCGGGATAACAAGCTTGGCTGATGCATTTAAAGCCTCTGGCGGGTGTCTTTTTGGGGTGCTCCGTTCCTCTCCCAGCCCAGCCTGCCGGGCAGGGGCAGATCCCCATCACCCCAACCAGGAGGCGGCGGGGTGGGGGTGGGGGCAGGACTTGGGGT